CAGTGTACTATCGTGCAAAAAATACAAGTAATGTACATGTCCTCGCTGCAGACTGTGCCACTGTTTTCCGCCTCTGGCACTCAAACAGAAATCAGCTGATTGTAGTTCACCCGATAAACAGGATGGACAGCCAAGCAGAGGACCAAGTCCAAGGAATTGCAAGGAATACAGGTTCTCGAGTCCCATCCCTGATTATAAATACTAAGCCCATTTTATTTATGTACAGTTATTTATAAATCAGAACCTGTTATTCATTATCTACGCCAACGCAATGTTTGTGTGATCAGAGTAAAGACATGACTTTTTACTGCACTACAAACTTCTTAAAGTATGTTTAAAAGAACGAAGTAAAGAAAATAAATATATACGAAATACAATACTACTAAGTGAGCTGAGTTGGCAAAGGTTTGCAACCTTGGTGTCCTTGAAGTTTAATTGTGAGTTTGGATAAAAGTTCTTTATTTGTTTATCTATTCAGTTTCAGTTGTGTTTAAGCTGTTTGGTTAGACATAAGATCTTCACTCTTAAGGTGAAACTTAAGATTGTTTGGACTTATAATCTGGGGGAAACTATTCTATTTTTTCCCCTTAGAGTTATTGTCCCTGAGGCCCCTCTGTATATATTCTGCACTTTCTGTAAGCATAAATATGCACAAGTGTCTTTTAACAGTGACTTTGAGCCACTTTCAAGGTTTCTTTATGCCACATAAGATAAGATAAGATAAGATAGAACTTTATTAATCCCTCGGGTGGGTTCCTCTGGGAAATTCGACTTCCAAAAAAAGCACAGCAACGACCAAAGTTACAGTTACAGAACTGTTATATATATATACACACACACACACACACACACACACACATATATAAATACAGAGACAAATATAAATAAAATATACAAAGGGGATAAATAGAATAAATAGGAATAAAAAATAAAAATACAAGTGAATTGCACATTTCAAGTATTGAGTCTATTGCACTGTTGACTATTTACAAAAAGTATTGCACAAGGTATTGTACAGTGAGGTGAAGAGGCACTACAGCTTAGTTGTTCCCCCCTCCTTTGTCCTCCTGTTTCCCCTCCCTCTCCCCTCCAGAGAGGAGTTAAACAGTCTGATGGCGTGTGGGACAAAGGAGTTTTTAAGTCTGTTAGTTCTTGTCTTGGGGAGAAGCAACCTGTCACTGAACAGACTCTTCTGGTTGTTTATGGCCGTGTGCAGAGGATGCCCAGCATTGTTCTTTGTAAAGAGAGATGACAGCCATCAGGACTGTGTCACTTCAAAATATTTGCACCATCATAATTACTCCAGTACTACATTTTCCTTCTTATGACTGAAATGAATAAATGAGCATCCATTTAATTATGTGAGTGATTACCCTGCCAAATAAAAACAGAATAAAAGTGTTTTTATAGTCTGAACCCATTCTTACCTTACTAATCAGAAGGTTGGCGGTTCAATTCCTGTCTGCTCCAGTTTGCATGCCAAATATCCTTGGACAAGAGTCTAAGCCCAAGTAAGAATGTGTGTGAATGTTAGGTAGAAAGAGCGTAGAAAAAAGTGCTTATGTGACTGGGTGAATGAGGCAAGTTATTTAAAGTGCTTTGAATGCACAGATAGAGCAGAAAAGTGCTAAATAAGAACCAGTCCATTTACCATTTAATTTTGCTGGTGCTTTAAATGCGTTTAAAGGCAGGTTTAATGTCCCCGGTGAGCCAGCCAATAAAGGTATCTTTGCTCCGAAGTCTGATATTTTTTCTCTTTACATCAGAAAGTGAAATAAAACATTCTTATTGATTTCCACAGTGAATTAATGCACTCTGCCATGTGCAGGAATGTGTTTCACAATTAACTGATCATAGTTACCAAACAAAAACTGCAAACAAAGGTATGGGTGCCAGCAGTTCAGCAGTGAAGAGTCAACAATCTCACATGATATCAGTACATGAAATAATCGCTGAGACATGATAGTCATAATCAGTTTGGATTGGGTGTAACAGGCAAATGACTTGAAAAAGGAAATTCAAAATCAAACTGATAACCTTTTTGAAGCTTGGTATGAATATTATCTGAGCCAAACTGATTGAAATTTGGAACAAAAAACCCCTTCCACACCTTCCTTGTTAGGAGAGAAGCAGGCTTTCTTTTTTCACTGACATGTTTCAGAGCCGAAAGCAGGAAAAAATACTCCGGGTATTTGGAAAAGTCTGACGACTGAACTTTCGGCTCATAGAGATTACATGAACATGAGATGATTAATAATATTAATAAAAGTATCCACCACTGCAACCATATGTGTAAGTTCAACAGTGTGCTTTAAAGACACCATGATCATTGTTTGTAGAATTTTAAATGACCTCAGCACATAGTTATGGACAGCTGCAATGACATGCACTTGATTTGACACCTGCCAGTCTGCCACAAAATGCTGAGCCGCATCCTGAGTGCCTCTCACAATCTATTCTCAGACAATCCCCCCACCTCCCACCACCATCATATATTCTCCTCTGCTGTATCACGCCATGACAAGCTGTGTGTCAAGCACTTAAAGCACGGGTCTCAAGTAGGGGCTGTGGAGGGCCTGTGTATTACATTTGTGGACAATAAATTGATATGATCCACAGTATCAAGCCTCTTCTGAGCTTACCCTAAAGCCCGTGGTACATTAAGTTGCAGAGCAGCAGAGGCCATTCTCACAAGGTCAACATCAGAGGTGAGGGTAACAATGATGTAGGAGGAAGGAGGAAGCATGGGGAGGATGAAGGAAGCTGGGAATTTTGTAGATTTGTCATTTAATTAAAACCTCCTGTGTCCGCATGTCCAACCAGCTCAGCCCCTCACAGTTATATAGACAACAAGAAAAGGCAAACTTGGAGGAAGAGAAGCTATGATATATCCAGCAGAGCTGTACAAAGCTTGGCTTGGCTGCTGAACTCATGGCTGTTTTCTAACTCAACTTAAAGCTCAGATATTGGTGTAATTGCAGCTTTGGCCTGCTGAAAAGCACATGAGAGAATATCATCTCAATAAATGGGGTAATAACTCCAGAAATATTACTCATTTTAGTATATACTGTTATATTAAAGTGGAAATGACACAGCCGGCTGCCCAGATGTGTGAGTGCTTTTCATAAATAAATGTAAACCCTAGCAATTGAAAGCATAATGTGGGACAGGGCGAGCAGAACAGGGCGAGATTGTGAATTTGGGTCTGAACATACCACGGAGAAAGTGAACATGTCCTTTTCACCTAATAAAATACTTTCTGTTAATAAATGTAACAATTTACCCCTCTGAAATTGGGCTACAGTGACAGAACTGTGTGTCTCTTTGGGGGAACAGCAAGACAGATTTAATGTGACCAAACAGGTAACAGTCCATAACAAATCAACTAAATGTGATATTATCCATAAAGCACCATTCTGCTAGCACTTTTCCTCTGATTTACACATAAAACAGAATCTCTGAGACAACCTTCTGACCCCATTTGCACTTCATCGTCCTGGACATCTCCTCAGAGCACAGTCGCCAAATTGACCTAGAAACCCACCTAAATACCAACCGCCCAATCCCACTGCGATGACTAAATGAGGGTGGTATCACAGCAGAAACCCAAGTGTCTTGATTCAACTCAATTAGGCCTGCATATGGGGAAGATGTTGTCAGAGTAAATGTCACTGTACAGTTTTCACAGGTAATTACCTCGCTCCACTGTGACAAGGGGCCTATTTGGTGGAAAGTGTTAGAACACACTGGGAAGGTAAGACTAAGTTTCCCCATCTAATTCTGGAACTTTCCATTGCATGCAAAGTCAAGAGATGCAAAAGAGGGATATTTTTATCACACTGCTTTAGCACCAAATTGTTGCCCTCCCACTCGCATGCAGTCGATATTTGTCTGGCTACCAGGATTTGCTTTTAATCATCAGCTAATTGCTGACAATCGTTGAACTGGTGGTTTATTAATTATTTTTTTGTGTGTGTACTGTTTGTCTGTGTCTGCTGACATGACACATAAAGCTGCAACAACCAGAAGAGACTCAAAGTTATGTTATTGCTGATGCAAACGGATCTATTTGTTCACTCAGCTTTTTTTTATCTGCTTACTGTCGCTTCAACATAAAACTCCGTTTAAATCAAAGTGAAAGGCGACATGCTGTTCCTCGCACAAACGAAAAAAACAACAACTGCATTATCTGTCAGACATGCCACGCGCGTGTTTAGAGATAAGAGTTGAGAGGTTAGTTTAGCATGTGGAGGAAAGGTTGCGCTTGTTTGACTCAGAAGTGAGTCAAGGTTCAGCAGTGCACGGTGTGCTATCTGCACACAAATGCTACGACTCCTCTCTGCCTGCAGCGGAATATATGGACGCCAGGAGAGAAGATGCCTGACACTCATGTTTTAGCATTTCACTGCTCCTCGTTATTCCTGGCTGAAAATGCAATTCATGGAGTTTTACAGAGCTGGCAGATTGGAGGCGGGTGAGGCCCAGACATCTGTACATTGTGACTTCACACGCAGAGTTTCAACCTTCCGCTCAAACCCAGTGCTGCACGGTGACCTCGTTATAATCTAAAACAGCCCCAAAGTCGGCTGGAAATCTCCCCATTAACGCCGGAGTGATTATTCACCTGATTCATTTAGGGCGGCTCATTGCTTTTGTGCCTGATTTAGAAAGACTGCACAACATTTCCCACTGCGAGAGATGCTTTCTAAATAAAGACAGTGAAATGCTATAACTGGTGGTGATATATTAAAGAGCCGGGGGCTTCTACCTTTCTACTGCTACGGTATTGACTTCATTTACATGCATGCAGACTTGGACGCACCGTTGATTAGTGGAATTGGTTCAGCACCTCGGACAGCGCCGAGCATCGATACCTGCACTGAGGACGTCAGAGCAGAGGTGGGGCTGGGGTGGTGGTGGGGAAGAGCAGCTCCATAAACTTTATTGAGCGGGACTTTTCGTCGAGTCGCGCTCTGAGCAAGAGCGGGTTGGCGTTTCTCTTCGAGGAGCGCCATTATCGCCCGATTGGTCGATGCTGCTGGATGCCCAACGCCGCTCCTTCCACCCACACACCCTCCCAGTCACCGAACGTCAGCTACCGGAGAGCGGGCCACGGTGATTTAAACACGGACAGAGAGAGAAGGTGTTTGCGTGAGAGACAGGAGCGTCTCCGGAAAGAGTGCGAGTGCACACTGTAGACATCCACACGGTGGAGCAAAGCCTACAAACTTTATTCCTTTTCTTTCTTTCATTTCTTTTTTAAGATATATTCCTGTTTACGAACACTCCCCTCCCCCTGAACAAAGACAAAGTTTTGACATCCCCACCAAAAAAAGAGCAAAAACAACAACTATTTATCACCCCACTTGTCCGCTTGGCTCTACTTGACGTTTCTTTTTAAAGCAACAAGTGTTGTCGGCTACGGTACTTTTTCCACACAGGAGGAAAAAAAGAACTACCGATGATATATTAGCTACCGTGGTCACTCGGTGTGGCACCGCAGTGACACCAGGACTGCCATGATCGTGTCCAACGTGAGCCTGAGCGGCTGCGCGGATTTCAACAGCGCTCTGTGTGCCGGAGCCGGGGAAGGGCACCTGGGGGGCGGATCATACCGGACCGCTCTCACCCCGACTGGGAACCTGGTAGTGGCTGTGTGCCTGGGCTTTATCGGCACTTTCGGACTTATTAACAACCTGCTGGTGCTTGTTCTTTTCTGCCGCTACAAGATGCTGCGGTCGCCCATCAACCTGCTCCTGATGAACATTTCCATCAGCGACCTGCTGGTGTGCGTACTGGGGACTCCGTTCAGCTTCGCGGCCAGCACGCAAGGAAGGTGGCTCATAGGGGAACGGGGCTGCGTGTGGTACGGCTTCGCCAACTCGCTCTGTGGTGAGTACAAATGCGGGATCAGTTAGGTGGTGCTATAGGTTTCTGTACTGTATACAGGCTCTATATTCTTTATTTCACACGAGGTCGTGAGTGTTGCTGCGCGGAATGCGTGGATCCTCTCCAGAGCACTGCGCTTTGTAGACTGGATCGTGGTATGCTTTATTCGTACAGACGAAATGATGATTTTGAAAAAGAAAACGTAAAAATGTCCAACTGTCTCTCGTGCACTGAGTCATGTGTGAAGCCATATCAAACTTTCACAGAAAAGCTTAAAAATCTTCGGACTCTTAATGAATTAAATCTGGAGATAATGAGCAATGCTCGTGTGCCACTCTGGAGACAATAAGAGCCTGTTATTACAGCTGTTTGTTCGTTCTGCATGACTCGTCGCTGCTGGAACAAGGCATTTTGTTTATTGCAAGCTTTCTCTCGTTCGTTTCGTGCATTTTGGGTGGGATCATCCTGCAGTCTCCTACGTCATTAAGGTCTTTCATTAAGGTATCGCTTAAAGTGGAGGTTATCTTATTACGTTTTATTGTTTTAAAAAACAAACAAACAAGCAAATAAAAAACTCATTCTGCACGAGTCAACTGGTTCATGAATCCAATCCGTGATTCGAGTTGCACATCTCCTCTCATAATCCCGATGAAGCTTTCACATAAAGATGCGCAGGTTTGGTCCAGGTGCGGTACTGGTCATTATATCTGTGGATGTGGTCTGGATGGAGCTCCGTGACAGACCGTACCGTACCGGTCCCTTCTGCAGCTGTGTGCATCATTTTGACATTCTCCTTGTCATAAGACAGCTCCACGGTTTCACGAAAGTAATTTAGTCATTTAGAAATCGTTTGTTCGAATTCCATTATGAACTCTGCAGCATGTCACAGTACTGTCAGCTGGTGATTTTTGTGTGCAACCTGCTATTAAATGGCCGCTAAATGCTTATTACCGTTTAGTTGAGAGGCTGTACCTGAGGCGAATCAAACCTCCTCACTGTGCACTGTTCATTTAGCTGCTCCTGCAGGTCTGTAGCGGGCTGTGGCGACGCTGTCTGCCTCCATGGCAGGTACATCTGCAGCATTTGTTGCAGAATAAAACATTTCCAAGGGGGAAAGCTGTGTAATGAGAAAACGGGATGCTGCTATACCTTTGCTCAGCAGTGCTGACATAAATAAATTGGGTATAATGATGCACACAATAGAGAATAATGCTGGTACGCACTTGCTTGATACTGGGCCAGACTGGATTGTGGAATTAAAGTAGAGCGATCAGACCAGGTGTGCTCTATACCAGCAGCAAACAAGGAGTTTCAATTAGCATTAAACACAGACTTACATTAATTGTCCTCTAAGAGTTGTATTAATTAAAACCGTCAGTACACACATCCGAGTCACTTGGATGAAGTTCTCTTTTTTGCAAGCCTTATTTCTGTATAAAAGATGAAAATGTTCTTCTGTCAGCAGGAGTCCTTGGCCCAGTGCCTGATTTAAAGTGTTTAATGAACAGAGTCACAGACACTGAAAGGCAGGATGTCCCATCTTGAATCTTTATCACTGCTGTATATTATACCAGTTCCCTCTTGCTTTTAAATCAGTTCATATTTTAGTTGCTTGACAGGTAACAAGTTGAAAAAGAAGAATTCCTAAAGTTCACTTTTCAGTTGAATCAAAACACACAAGTCACCTTTGGGAAGACTTAAAAAAACATTAGATGAAAACCTGAAAAACTTTGAGCTTTTCAGTTACAGAGACCACAAATTCTTTGTGCAGCTGCGAACGGACCGAGTGTTCATGCTGGATGTCTGCGGTCAGCGGTGGCAGCCTTTCACTGATGAAGTTTGCAAGGGCTGATAAATCTTTTCTAAAACTTCTCTCACTCACTTCAACACATCTAATCTTCTGATGTTTAAAGGCCTGCTTTAAGCTGAGAAATGGCCACTGGAGCCAAACATTAGGTCCTCTGATACCTGCTGCAACTAAAGATTTCGGGCGTTTGATCTTATCTCGAATAGGATTACAGCTCGTTAGCCACCTATGTGAGAGTCCAGTTGCTGTGAAGCAAAAATCCCTCCGAGATAAAAGTCTGATTTCTACTTGAGAAACATTTGTGTTACATAATTTCCCATCCTTACTTTATGGTCATTCTGTGGCCCTGAGGTCGTCACGCTTCTTTGTGGTCACTTTGTGCATGATGTGAGCACCGAAACCTTCCTATCCAGGCGACAAAGGAAGAGGCTAAACACGGAGCAAACAAGTCCAGCAGGGGTTTTAATCCCCTGCTTTTATCAGCTCTTTCACACCTTGATCTCTGGATAACATTTACCCGCAGTGCACACTAACTAAATTGCATTTTACTTTCCACAAGAGCCTCGTGAATCTGTCAGCCTTTTAAATTCAAAACAGGCTCTCGACTGGTACACTCACTTCCTCTGGGATAAGTTCCAAAACTTTATTTCTTTCTTATCATGGTGCAAAAAAGGCAAACTTCCAATCATTTTACAGTATCTGAGCGAGCTTTGATCGCATCCACCGTCTCGCTAACTCGAGTGTTAGACCAAGATTAAGCACCATGTGAAAATATGTAACACTGACCTCCACAAAGAGCCAATTTATTAAACATCTGACAAAAAAACTGGGCTTCGACAAACTTAAATATTGTAGGGAGACAGTGTGTGTGTGTGAGGGAGAGAGAGAGAGAGAGAAATATCTCACAGACATCATTAGAGCCTCCACTGGTTATGGATGAGTAATTCCTCAATGGCCTCATAAAACCAGAATGAAAGAGTGAGGGAGGGCCAGAGAAAGGAAAAGTGAAATTGATTGTTTGGGTGAATTATGCCGGGTGCCGCTTTGACAAAGCGACAGTCTCTGTATTCGTCGAATCTCCGCGAAGCTTTTCTGAGTGATCGATGTTCCTTCAAATTAGAGGGCATCACTGTCAGTGACAGAAGACATTGTTAGCGTGGCGTTAGCACGTCGTATTCCTGTTCTCTCTTCACATCGATTTCTTCTTTCTGCTCACAGTCTTAGATGTTTGAATGACTGAACAATTGAAGATGTATTGCATTGACTTTTGTGCCAAGAGCACCCACTGAACACAATTTGTGGAGACGCATGCATGTGCATGTGTGTGTGTCTTTATCTGGACCTCCTCACCCACTGCCATCAGCCTCCTGGCATCCATTTAGCTGCTTCACCTCTTCTACCCGCCTCTTTGCATTTTCTTCTCTGTCTTGCTGAACTTTTAGTGTCTTCCATTATACTGAAGATGAACAGGACAGGATCTTTTTTTTTCTGTCTCTGACAGCTCGTCTATGTCTTCCTGCATGCCTCCTTCTTCAAGCAGGCTCTGCACACAGTCGCTGGATTAACCTTGCACTGCTGGGGGCCACTCACCACATATTGGAGTCAGATTGCTTTCCGCATACACTCACTCGCTGACCTGCGCACAGCAGCATCACCGAAATAGGCGGGCAAACTGATGAGCGTGCACGTGGGGGGAAAGGAAAATGCACGAATATGTGCATCATGTTGGTGCGCACAACTTTTGGCCTGAGTGATGTTAATTTGTCAGGACGCTACGCAGAATTCTCAGTAGGGAGAAAGAAAGCAGAACAATGCTGCCCTGCTGTAAAGGTCATAGCAAGCAAGCCGACTAATGAGGCACGGTAATAAATACTGAATTAAAGGTCTTGCATAAGAGAGACCCAAAAATATGTTTAGGACGTGATGTGTGTCTGGTGTTCAGCATTCATTAGTGTGAATGATCATGTCCGTATGCTCTGACTTCTTATCCAAAGCGGGGAAAATCGAATAAGAGGTACGCACGTTTGATGTCTCTTAGTAGACTCGGTGCGTATCGCGCTGGTTTCGCGGGATCTTCTGAATAAACACAGCTTTACTCAATCCTGTGTTTTTCATTCAAACTGTCTTTTCCTGGATATACGGTATCAAAGGAGTGATGCAGAAGCAGATGGTTTCTAACAGAAAAGCAAGACAGAAGAGGTGAGTGAATGTCACACAGGCAGGAGAACAAAGACTGTTCCTTTATACATATAAATATATATATATTTCAGATGTTATCACATCATAAGATGTTTCATTTTGGAATATTACATTCAGCTGATACATTTGATCCTGCCAGAGCAGTAAAAGATTGATGCAGGGTGATGTTTGATTTCAGATGCTATCAAAGTTATATCCAAAGATGTGTGGGTGTCTTTCATGATGATATTACATGGCCTCTAATAATGGATTTATTCATACAAAGAACCTTGCAAAGCAGAGACAGTGTTGTACTCATCGGGTAGGTGAAAGTTGTAGGGGATCTGCTGCTATAATCTAGTTTTCCCATTAAAAGCAATGAATTAAATCAACTACAACAGTTTCCATGAGCCTGAGACCAGAAGACTTCAGCAACATGATGCCAGTATTCAATTTTGGGTTAATTTTGAGCCGTGGAAGAGATTTGCTAATTAGTTTTTAGTAAATGTGAAGTTTGATTTATTGTGACAGTTCTTAAAAACTGCTTAAGGGATATTGGAGAAATTTATATTCAGCTGTTGTCTGGAAGATATACAATATGCACATGCTCACCAACCTGACCCGAGACTCATGACCACAGCCAATAAAGTATGTTGTTTAAGATGAAATGCTCTTCTCTTCAGCAGTATATTATTTTCCTCATGCTATTAGGGATGCATCAGTACTGTACTCTGGATCAGGTTACAGTTATACTTCAGTCAATGAGCTCGTCAATAGCTTCAATTCTAAAATGTTAAATGTAATGGACACTATTGCTCCCATTAAGGTGAAGGTTATCTCTGGAAGGAAGAAGTCTCCATGGAGAAACTCCACACCGGTGAAAAATGAAAAAAGAGAGCGTAGGAAAGCTGAGCACAGATGGAGAAAAACAAACCTCCAGGTTCATTATGACATCTATAAAGAGAAACTTCACAATTCTAATTTACAACTGAGGAGTGCAAGGAGGTCCTACTTCTCT